CCACAGCCTTCCCCTCATCCACTAAGCGGGTCACCTTGTCATAGAAGGAGACCAGGTTAGTCAAGCAGGACCTCCCTTTCATAAACCTGTGCTGGCTGGGCCTGATTCCCCAGTTGTCCCACACGTGCTGCATAATGGCACTCAAGATGATTTGTTCCATGACCTTCCCTGGCACCGAGGTCAGGCTGACAGGCCTGTAGTTCCCCAGATCCTCCTTCTGACCCTTCTTGTAGAGGGGCGTCACATTTGCTAGCTAGAAAGGACAGTAACTGGTGAATTTGCCAACAGATAACATCTCATATGATTTGGATCAGTCCCAAAAGATTACTCTACAGCCCCAGGGCTCACCCATTTACAGATTTGGAAACAAGATAATGTACGTTTAAAAATAAAATAAAAATCCTGTCTTGCATTTTCTTAAGTGCACTTGGATATTTGGCCTTGAGTTCTTCAGAATGTAGCAAGAGAGTACAAGGATATCTAAATAAAAGATATGAAATTGGAAGTCATGTGGTAAAATATGTAGGTGAGAGGAAGCATGGGAGGCAGAGGCAGAGGTGAAAAGAGACCTCAGAGAAGTGAATCCACCCAGAGACCATTTCCAGACTGACGCCTTTGCTGTCGACCATAAATGCCTTACAATTACTCTCATTGTCTATGAGGGCAAATCTCTTTAGGGTATCGTAGGGTAGCAACATGAGTTCCCTGACTCCAAAAGAGCTGTTACAAGCAGAGTAATATTTTAGTCTCAGGTCACTCCCACTACTTAATATTTGCTGCTTACTCTAAGTCAGTTTACCAGGGTAACGCTTTTAGGTCCTTTTTTTTATTTCTAATCTGCTTCAAGTACAGCTAGGCAGTGTCCATCTGAGAGAATCTTAGCTTCTAATGCAAGCATGAAAAATTATTTGGTTGAAAAGCAAAGGCATACTTCCTGCAGTACCTGCATTAAATGTACTGTGTAAAGTGTTTCTCCAGCTATGGTTTAACTGGCTCTCTTGTGTGTGCATATTACTTGTATGATGAAGGGTCTATAATAGTTTTTATTGAGGGTTTTGTGTGGGGTTGGTTTTTTTTTTCCCTCCAGAGCCCATCTCGGTCTGAAAAGCCACATTATTCCATGCTTGGAAACTTTTTAAGAGAGGACTGACTGAAGGATATTGCATAATGCTGCAGGCTTGCAGCTCTGTGGTTGGATGCAGTTCCTATTTCTACCCTGCTATGGTGGTACCTAGCACACACATAGAGAATGTATTTGCAAACATTGTTTGGTATGTATCACTGCCTGTAAAAATAAAAATGAAGCTTTTTAAAAAAATATGATCTTATCACAAAAAAATTATACTTAAGCCTATCTCAAAAGCTAAAGAAATTAGGGTAACTCTTTTGTTCAGTACTATGAATTCTGTTGACAATCTGGGAAGAACTGCCTGTAGCTCCATAAACTATTTTAGTCACTGCAATGTGGGTGGGTGCTTGGAGGGAGGGTTGTGGGTTCTTTTCTAATCAAAAGCTTTCAGTTAAGAATTGACAAAAAATGGAAATTATCAGGTTTAGTTCTTACCAAAGAACATGGCAATGTCACTGGCTGATTATTTACTATTTCTAACCTGTTCTTTCCTTCCCTCCACTCTTATTTCCAATTCTCTCCCATGGCCAAATTGCCCAAAAGCAGTATGAGATTTAATAGCAGCAATACAGTGCGTTCAGCAAAATGCCAATCCTGTACATGCAGAATTTGACTCATCTGCTCAACAGATTTGGAAATATCTTGTGAATTGTGTAACTAACGTTCCTCATTTTATAAAGCTGTGAAAGTAGTTTTTCTATTTACGAGCATAGTAAGTTTCTGGAAATGGTTTGCTACCTAAGTACTCTCTTCTCCCACATCTATTAACTGAAAGTTGTTTCTACACCTTCTTCATATATGAAGTTTGGTTGCGTTACATATTCTTTTCCTTTCTGTGTGTGTGTTCTCAGTGTGACTGGATAGCTTCAAATTCTCTCTTGCTGAGGCTTTAATTATCTTGTCAAAAGCATAAAGGGTTCACACTGTTCCTGTATGTGTTTCAACAAGCTTACCGTCTTTCTCAGAGCCTTCGTTGGTCTATCAGATACTGAACTGGTTGAAGATTTTGATAGGAGACTTAACCCAATTGTTGAGTGCTGTCTGTTTCAACAGTAAACAACAATGCATTACGCTATTTGAGTTCTTGGGTTTAAGCATCTCCCAAAATAAGATCTTTTAATGTTAATTCAACCACAGGGATATGGAAGTTAATACACAACACGATGCTTTTTGATGCTAAGACTTTTTATGGCATAAATGTCTTTTTCTCTCTTTCTGCTCTGGGTTGGCACTGCTGGTTACAGCCTGCCTGTCACAAGATGGCCTGAGCTAATTTCACCTTCAGGGCACACTATATACGCTTGTAAGATTCCCAAAGAACTCCCTGGAACTCTTTATGGAGCCCTTTATTCAGCACTCAGTGCAGGACTCTGACTGCTGCTTGTGTAAACTGTATTTCTTTGAGGAAGGTGTTCAATTACTGTGTATCTTTATCTTTAGCTGTCATACAAGCTGTAGTGCTTAGGTTCCACCAACTTTATATTGTAGGAAGATTACACTTTTCACTTAGTTTTTATTTTGATGCATCAGATTCTAATCAAAAATATTTTCACAGTCATTATTGCCGCTCATCAGCAGG